AAAAGAAATGGATAAACTATAAACCACAGACTTATACTAAACAATAATAAAAAGTGAAAAGAAATGGATAAACTATAAACCACAGACTTATACTAAACAATAATAAAAAGTGAAAAGAAATGGATAAACTATAAACCACAGACTTATACTAAACAATAATAAAAAGTGAAAAGAAATGGATAAACTATAGAATAGACAGAGATTTTCCTACCATTTATTATTTGAAGCCAGAATTACATTTAGATCAAAGTTTGAGGTATTGCATTTAGAGATTGCATTTAGGGTCTGAATGTATATAGTGAGCATGCGCTGGCACAAAAAATTTTTAAATGTGACATTATGTCAAACCCAATAAAAACCAAGATACTATTTTCTAAGATAATAAGTAATAGCTAGGATAAATTATCCCTCTTATTTTCAAAGTAATCTACCAATTTTTTAATAGGATTCTCGTCTGAATCATCTAATTCTTCTAAATACTGATGACCTATCTCTGTGAGATACGGAATTCTTTCAAAATCATCCAATTTTATCGGTTCCTCATACGAAACTTGCCACCGTTGATATTGATTTCCTAGCATAGAGTACATTTTACGATCAATTGCATTTTCTTCGTTAGATATATTAAATTTTTTTGATGCCCAAAAAAGTTGTTCTCGATAAAGATCTGGTTTTAAAGGATTTGGTATATAACTTCCCGTACCCAGTGAAAGTATGAAAATTTTTTCACTTGCTACTTTATATTTAATAGCTTCAGTAAAGGATATTTCTGCCGGATTATTGATATGCATACCTCCATCCAAGAAAGAACCTTTATTATTTATCTTATAGGGTGAGAAAAAAGTTGGTATAGACGTTGCAGCCATTAAAGTATTAACAAAAGAATCATTTTTAAATTCATCACTGCGAGCATCATTACGCGTAAATAAATATTCTGGCGGTGAATTAGCTTCATCTATTGCAGGGATAACCAGTTCAGTGAGTGCATGACTCAATTGCGTTTGGCCAAAAAATTCTTTAAATAGGTTAGAGCGACCTTCATTCGTATACTTTGTTTTTGATTTCTGTTCATTATTTATAGTGAATAATTGTTTTGTACGATTTTGGTAAATATTCAATAATTCTGAAGCCGAAAACTTTGGCTTAAAATCGGTATATTTATTGTGCGGTGTAGATAGTCCAGCAGCAATGATACCACCGGTTGAAGCTCCAACTATCATATTAAATAGATGGGAGATGGGTCTTCGTGTTCGATGTTCTATTTCACTAAGCCATAATGCAGGTAGTATTCCACGTATGCCTCCTCCGTCAATAGAGAGATATTATAAACAGGATTATCGTTACTTCGAGAATTGTGGAAATAATTTTGTTCATATTTCGCATCCTTTTTTTCTCTTTCGTATTGGATAATGCGACGTTTACTCGAATTTTCGCCCATTAGTTTTTTGAGGAATAATCTTTGTTCGTGAGCTAATTTGTTTTTAGGTTCTAATCTTAACGCTTCAATAATGCATTCGTTCGCTTTTTCATAATTGGCTTGCTTATAATAAGCAATACTACGGAAGCACCAATACTCTGATGACAAGGTTAAAACTGTGCTCGTGTTGATAAGTTCAATAATCTGAGTATATTTGGACAATTTTAATAAACATTTTGCATAACCAAGTGCAGAATCAAGATTTTGAGAATCTATTTCACGTGCACGCTCATAATTATTTTGAGCTCTATTCCAGTTACGTAAGCTGTTTAATTTATCAATTTTGTGATCTTTTTTGGCCAAATGCTCAAAAAAAGTTGCTATATTATTGTATATTTTTACTTTTTCTGATTGAGAAGACGTTTGTTTTAGTTGTTCATTCAAATATTCCAAATATCTATAGTCTTTGTTTTCGGATGGAAATGAATCGGTTGATTCTTCGGGAAATTCCTCAAAAATTTCTTCAGATGTTTCTCTACCATTAATAACCCATAAGAAATCTTTCAAAGTTTCTAAGCGTAATTTAGAAGTACCAACAAACTGATAATTACTGCTTATCGACTCTCTAATTTCATTAATAATTTTGACAGTTTGTTCAATTGCCTCTGAACCAGGGCTAACATTTCAAGAGTTGCAAGATTAATCCTTGCAATATTACGTATTTCTTCCAGCCTTGAAACAAAGGGCATTCTCTGAGCATCACACGTGTCCTCTTTGAAAGACTCATCAAATTTCCTCCATGAACGGAAGAGAAGGACGTGCTGAGAGAAAGACGAGAAATAAGATAATCTAGTTGTTTTTCGCAATTCATGGATACGATTATCTAGCTTTTCAGCGTCTTCCTTAAGGTCTTCGCTCAATACTCCGCAAAAAACATTTTTCGCAAAAACCTTTAAATCATTTGCATTTTTTCCATCAATCTGTACTTTCCGACTTATCAAGGCTTCTCCAATCGAATTTAGTAAATAAGCAATACAGTCCGATCTAATATAATGCTCTCTACATATCTTTATTATATTTGAAGGAACAACAACGTCTTCAACTTTCTTTAACCTCAAGATACTGTCACCTGTTTTATATTCCTTCGAAAGTATATTGATGAATTCTTGATATTCTCCCTTATCGTTAGCGTCTAATGCTTCCTTTATAATTTCAATCAGTTTCTCACGAGTTGCCGCATACCAATTGTCAATCACCGCCGGAATTATTGGATTAAGCATACCAATACAATACAGTAATGTCGATTCAATGAATGTAGATGATGATGATTTACATCGAATCAAACCACGGTCTGGCTTGAGCATTAATTCAGAAATTCTTTTTTCTATATTTTCATTAATTGAATCTTGATAACAAATTTTAACGTAATAGGGGTTCCTCTGCCCTAACTTTTCTAAATCTAATGTAATTTTATCAGGCGCTTCTCCTGTATGGCTATTACCATTAACTTTATCAAATATTTTTTTTACTTTCGTATAATCCTGTGGTGTCGATACTGGACAGTTTATAAGTAACATACGAATTGCTGATAAAGCATACAACTGGGACTCTAATGATTGACCAGCAATATGTAAGCATAATGCCATATTCTCTCGTAATTTTATTTGTTTATTTATGTCATCTTCATCAGCAAGTTTACAAGCTTCTCGATATGTCTCAAAGGCTACTTTACCATTAGTTATACTGAGGTGCCTTAATTCTTCAGAAGAATATTGATTTATTTCGTTTTGATTTAACACGTTCAGTTGACCCCATTTTCCTTCAGCTGCATTACGGTAATCAATCGCAATTTTCCAAAGTTCATGTGCTGCTTCTTCATGGATGATATTTTCTAAGTCAGCCAACAAGCGCTTTTTGGATTTTAAAATGTGTTTAAATAATTCTTCGCCTAAATTTTTATGTTCATCTCGAAGCGAAATTGGAGTATTATAGTCACCCGTTTTATCAGGATGAAAATATAAAGCAAGCTCTTTAAAATGTCTATTAATTTCAATATTTGTAAGCGAAATATTGCTAAAAATGATCTGCATTTTATTAGAAGAATTCAAGACATATCGTATAAAGGATATTCTTCCGTCATAAGCAATTTCATTTGCCAATGTATTTAAACAGGTCAAGGAATTAGTCAATTTTTTTTTTGCATCAGTGCCTAAGTTCTGACTAATTAACTTCATGTCAATAATATCATCAGCTGTTTGACGCAGTAAAGTTTCATAATTAACTATTGTTTTATAGCTTTCAAATGTCCTGGGCATTTTATATAAATGGATAAAAATTTCTCGAAAAGCTTCAATAGTATCGTCTTTTTTTAAGATTTCCTTAATTTCTTCTAAATATTTGTTTAATTTTGTATTCGCTTCTTGTATGTACTTTACACCAGGATTAGAAACTTCATTGACAACCATAAGTAACTTTGATATTTCTTCGCACATATCTTCATTTTTAGAATTTTTCATATACTGTTCGAATCTTTTTGCTAGAATTTTTTGTTTACTAGAACGTTCCACTTCGCCAATAGTTGTTAAATAACTAGCATATTTTATATGATAATTATACCTA